CAACTCTCAACATCAAGTACAACATTTTTATCTAAGTGAAAACAAGTGAGTGTCAGCAAGCTGTACATGTATGCGGCAATGTTGGACGATAATACAACAAAGTCAGACTTCAGTTTTACTCTGAGATTAAAATCTGTTTACTACATTCTGTGAGCTAATATATGACATAATTTGAGATAGCAAAATTGATAAAATTGCCTTGCCATTATAGGAAATATTAAAGGGCACCAAGAAAAACTCACTAGCCATCAAGGTATTGATGAATCTTTCAAGTTCAATACCTATAATCCAAGAATAAATGAAATATTCCGATGATAACTTGATTTTCTCGACAACTAAGACATTGGCCTCACTTGTCTTTCCCCCTCAAAAAAAAAGTCTGACGTTGTTACAATGCCGCAAACATGCAATAACAAATAAAAATGCCACATGTACTTACCTGTGTATCAACTACGTTAGGGTCAGCAGATATCGACTGTTAATAATAGAGATGATGTGTGAAGATTGGTTAAAAAGAAATGTATTTTAATATAGCGATAATGACTGATGATAGATAGAACAAGGAGTGATGTTCGTAGCAGTCAAGATTGTTAGGTTTACATGTTTTGTTAATGGGATAAAGCACGAAAAACCGACAACACTTAATGCAGATAATTGAAAGATAGTCACTTTTGAAATAAACATTATGTTAACACACACATTACAACACAAGAGAACATAACAAACACCCCACAGAAACAAACTCAAAGATTTGCGTCACAGAGAATGCGCAAATAATCAGATCATTTGGCATGTTGCACTTACAAATAATCATTTTCTAACATTTATTAGAAGACAACAATGGGGTATTTGAAACTGAAATTGTCATCTAACTGTAAGGCGGTCGCTGATGGCTGCTGAGCTGGAATGAAAATTTTTGGTTTCAAATACCCTGGGAAAGTGTTCTATGTTCTTTGTGTAATTAGGAGTTCATATTTAAGGAATTTTTCCACACATAAACGACGAATTCAGCCAAATTTTGTTATCGGTTAACTTAATATTACCCCCAACGGATCGTATTTCTGTGAAAGATTGGCATTTTTGTCCTGATTTGTAGGAATCTGAAAAACGTGTTTCACAACTTGTTTTTTATTTAGTGTTATGCCGCATTCAAGATGGCGGCCCCCATATAGTAAATATCGCATTTATTTTATTATCACGTGTGCACCAGCTGACTGTGGGTAGATTGCAACTTGTGTTTCGATATGTATGCATATTTTAGTACATATAGCATTCATGGTCAAACACACACAATATAAGTCAACAAAAATGTAAATGAAAATAAAATGATTTGTCATTGAAACCAAATTCAAAATGAGGTAAATTTGTTGAAATGTATCTTGTAAGCCATATACAATTTGTTCATGTTAAGACAAGACCCTGTTGCTCAATAGTAAACAACAGTAAAATGAATCAGCCATTTTGAATCATAACTTGAAACTAATTCATGTTAGTATGCACAACATGAGGTGTAATGTAGCTCCAAAGTTTGATTGCATTCAGTCAAGGAATTTTAAAGAATGTCTGCTTCCAGAACTGCCTAATAAGGGCAAACAGATTTTGTTAATCCAAAATGTCCCTTCGTCGGCCACACACACAGATAAATCAGTACCAAAGTACCAAACAGGGACAAAATATTTCGTGCCATAGGAAACAATTATGTAATGTCCTAAGACCTATTTTTATTGGGTACATGTACTATACGACAATCTCAAAATTTGTTTATTCATCCTTGAAACATAATATGTATTTTTGAGCAGCGTTCCACCTCAAGTAGTGATACAGTAGAGATTATATATTAAAATATTACAGACTTGCTCACCTGCTTTTTACATGTCATCTCACCGAGTGTGTTAAGAAATTTATAAAATATTTCATACCATGGTAAATAACTATGGACAAATAAAAGAGAAATAACTGCAAAAATACATGGAAAGAATATGAGCATCAGAGAATATGAGCATTTTCCTAAATGTCTACAAAAACTATCAAGTTCAGCCGGTTCAGCTTATTACATCACTTGAATGACATATTTGTTTTCTCCAATTTTGCATGTTTTTTTTTATTTTTTCTATAATTTCTTTATCAATTTTGGACCAGATGTTTTTTTTATTTTCCATTGACTGCAGGTTTTTGCAAAAATCTTTAAAAAAATGTTCTTTTAATTTGCGACAAAAGTGTTAAAAATTTACTTTAGTGCAAAACATACAATGTGTTTCAATATACATGTAATAGGACAAATGATTGTGACATTGTTCTGTCTTTAGTAAATCAAATCAACATCTTATCCTATCCTATAAGTTTCATAAAAGACATCTCTTACCTTATTACACAGAGACATGTCTTGGCACCAGGTGGATGTCTACAAAATCCAAATAAGAACATACTCTCCATATTGGTCCAGACAAATGTAAATAACTGACCAGCAGGGTTACAACTGAAAACAAGGCAGAAATAATTATAGTAATTACAAGCCATGCATGGCATAGTCCCTGTTAGTTATCAAATCTAAGCTGTATACAGGGACTTTAAAATGCATGATATTTCCCATATTCAGAGCGAGGCATAAAACAACCCAGATCAAATAAAAGTACTTATTTTTTTATAGGAAAAGAGTCCAATGAAAGATCTGGATCTTACTAGAGGGAAGGAAAATCTTTATGGTGTTCAACACGATTATGAGTTGGATACAACAATCACTATGTCACCCAGTCACCCTACAGTAGATATTGCAAGTACTTTAGATCAATAAAAATAAATATAATTTTGTACCTAGAGATATCATATGGAAAGCAGAATACTGGAATCTGTTGCAAGATTGCTGGACCTTCCTTTGTTTCTTTGTAATTTTCAGGATGAACTTTAAGAATCTTTGGAACTGTAAATAAAAAATATTAATGTAACTCTAATACATATCACGATAAATAATGCAGTGTTCCGAGCTGACAGGATGAATGGCACCCTCTTGGGGCAACATGATAAAGACAAAAGTATAACATATTTGACTATAGAGGGCGCTATACTATGCTGACGCATCTTGACATATAAAGTACAATAAAATATTATATCGATTCAAATACCATCAAGTGATGCTACGACTGATGCTTTGATATAACCTGTGCACATCAACGCATGAAAAATATTAAAAAGCACAAGAGATTAGACAGACATTGTATTCTCGGAACAATGTAATATGCAGTCTCAATCAACACAGCTAATTCTGATTCTCAAATTCCAAGTAAATTTATTTCACTCTCATGCATAGAATGCAGTAAGAATTAATATAAGACTGTGCAGATAACATTCTTGGAATAGTAAAAAAAGTTATTTTTATTGAGTATTTATTAAATCAAGTATTTGCATTGAAAACTTGTACATGTATTTATGGATTTAAGTGTGTTTATTGCGATAGTAATGAGGTCAGTGTATCAATAGAAATCACAGCTGTTCTACAAAAGAGGCCATTAAAATATCAGGGGATGACGTTCCATGATTTCCTAGGGATATATCCACTATTGTGTGGGGGTGGGGGTGGAGAAAGACATAAATACATGTCATGCTAGTATAAGTCATCCCATTGGTTCTGAATGTGTAACAGGATATGTACATTGTTTCAAATACAGACCATATAAGGTCATGAAACTTTATAATATACGAATATGATAACCTTCAATTTAAAACTGTAATATAGATCAATGCAAATTTTTTTTTTTTTTTTGTAATTTCAAAAAGAAAAGTACATAATAACAATTTTTTTAATTTTTTCAGAAAAAGCAGTGACATAAAATTTAGGATTAAGTAATAATAGACCCCTTCTAACTGAAAGTGTTGGGAGCAGTATTTGAAGGTAAGGTACATGGTAATGATAAGTTTAGAATTTGCCGTTAAAAATACGATACAAATGTAAAACATTAACAATCAGTACAGGTGACAACGTGAATAGACTTAAATTGTTTTTGCTTCACATACAGTGTTCTATTCACTTCTGTCATCGTGTAAACTGTTCCAAATACAATAGAACAGTAGACACAATTACTGAAGAGAATGAAACACTATATGAGGAGAAAAATAAGTCCTGTGGTTTTAAAAAATACATCACAGCCATTTGCCTCTAACCTTCACCACCAGACTTTCTCGCCTAAATTTGTCTGCACTTTTTTTCTTATATTCTGCAATATTTCTAGAAATGAACCCTAATTTTGGAGCCGACAGACAAAATTTGAGTCAATTTTTAGTTTTTACTCAAAAAATTCGGCTATTTTTGTTTTTGAAGGAAAGTGCAGACTATTTTGTGGATTTGAGTTGAAAAGAGGGAACTGGTGTAGAAAAGGCTAAGGTTTATTAGGGCAACCATAAGTGTGATAAAATAAAGGTGATTTGTAGCTGACATAGGTACGTCTAGGTCTACGCGGGAGAGGGTTCATTCCAGAGTTTTATAAAGTAGGGAAGACCCTTAATTATAATTTTGAATAAACAATAGCATAACAAATAATGAATATGGTTGAGGTGATTAACATATTATAATGTTATGCAAATTAGCCACAGTGCTACGCTATTTCCTTGTAGAATGCTGCAGGAAATAATACCGGTACCGTATTTATCCGGGTATAAGCCAAGGGTCTTGAACATGGAAAATTGCCAAAAAGAAGGGGTGGGCGTTTGCCAGGAGATCCCCGGCAAAAAAAACAAAAATTCGCGAAAATCGGCAACACGCAGTTCGATCGAACTGCGGCAGGGAATAGAACAGCAAATGAAAACATGCAACGGGAATAAATGAACAATATGCAACACTAGAAGTAGAACAAAAATAATGTATTGCTTATAATGTGACAAAAAACCAGAAATAATAAAAATCGACAGTGAGAAATCATTTGAATTAGGATTTTCCCGCCGACAAACACGTGTGAACTCAAAATTAATTAAAATGTCAGGGGTTAAACTGCGTAAGGGAAGAGTAGGAAATCAAACGGGCGGTGCACCGCGGTCATTACCGCGGTGTACCGCAGAACGCCGGGGAGAGCCGCGGACTGCTTATAATTAGGGGTCTCTACCGCTGTACCGGTCTCTACCGCGGTCCTCGGTAATGTGTGAAATACGTACTTAACAGTTTCTTTGTGATTCCACGAGTCATTGTTTTAAAATCCGATGCTGTAAATGAATACGATATGTGCGCTTGTTTAGTATTTAGTACATGTATTTAGCGTAACACTGGAATAAAGTTTACAATTGAAAAGAGAACGATT